CCAGAGACACGCCCTCCCCACAACCTGAGATAAACAGGAAGTGCCACAGAGGGCAGCAGCAAGGCACCCTGGGAACTGTAGTTCAGCTCACAGCCCCGGGGCGCTGATTCAGCAGCGTTGGTGACCATAGGCACCAAGCCACTAGCAGCCCCCCAGCAGCATAGGTCCCTGTTTGAGCCTTGTGCTGGGCCCAAAGACAGCCCTTCATCCCGAGCCTTGTGGGGAGGCCTTTTCAGGCTGTTCGCCCCAACCACGAAGGTCACCGATTTATTTTATGAAGTAAATAAAAACTGGGATGTTCATTTAAATCAGATGATTGCAAGAGATGGGGCTTTGCTAGGGGGTGGAAGGAGGAGGGGCATAGTCACCAGCATTGCAGGGGACTGCAGAGGGAGGAGGACAGGTACAGGTGGCAACTAAAGAACGGTGGTAAGACAGATGTCTGCAGAAAAGATTTCAACTCATTGTATTGGCACATAATTTATACTGAACCAGACTGGCCTCTGGCGGCCTGCAAGTTATTGCCCAGCACAACAGCTGACTCCTTAGTGATAACTACCTATTTCCCTCTTTTTCCACACAGGGAGATGCGTAGATTTCATTTCAAACCTTGTGGAGGAGCTAGCTAAAAGTAAGGCACGGAAGGCACTTTGCTACATTTCACTATCCGCACAGGTTATAGCAGACACCACCCTTCCGCTGAAAAGAGCAAGAATTGCTAGCACAAGGCAGAAGGTAACTGCTAAGAGGATTCAGTCAATATTGCATTTAACTGGAGGATAGAGGCTTTAATCCTTTCATGGCTGCTGTTTTCTGAGGGATGGGTAAAACGCTGACTCTGCCCTGTGTGGTATTTGTGGCCTGCGAGTCAGCACAATCTTTTTGAAGAGGAACATCTGCCAGAAGTATGATTCATCTCTGGTCACCTGAAGAACTGGGCTGTGCCCCCGAAAGCTCATGATACCTTCTCCATGTTTTGTTAGTCTATAAAGTGCTACCAGACCTTTTGTTGTTTTTTAAGTTTATCCTGTACAGACTAACTCGGCTACCCCCTGAAGCTTCTGTTCAATACATGTCAGGTACCAGTTCTAATTGCCTGATGTGAGGATGAACATTAATCCGCTTGGGCATGACAGGGAGGATGGATTATTGGTACCTCAGAGGAGATTGAATTTCTGGGTTTTATAGTAAATAGACATACAGTGAGATGAAAAAACATGTGTTTGTGGTTTCTTTATCCTTAGATGCTCTCTCTTCCTCTTTCTGCTGCATGCTCTCAGAAAACTAACTTGGAGTGAAAGTGTGTGCTCTAGGTGAAGCATTTCACGAAGGCAACGAAAGCTCAAATTCAGTGCATGTTAGAACCAGATTGCTGTGTGGTGGGGAGGAAAATGTTAACTGTTACTGTAACTGTAACTGCGAGAGACAACACCATATGTTGCTCAGCCTGAGGTTTCTTTGAAACTGCGAAATGCAAAACAGGAAACACTTCACACGCACACCAATTCCAATACTACAATCTTGCCTTTTACAAAGGCCAACAAACACCAGTGAAAGCGCATTTGGTCCTTTCTGTGGATGTGCAAAGAAAAAGACAGGGAAGGCATTTTCTGCCTTTCTTTGCCTACAGCCAACATGGTCTATCAAAGTGCCAAAGTATTTGAAACTACAGGCAAATTGTTTTGATAAAGCATCCAGGCAATACTGCTAACAAACAAAACCAAGCTAAAAGAAAAGAAAAGTTTCAGGGGAATGATACCCGCATAAAATCTGAGTTCAACATTCAGTAACTTTAGCTAGTTGCCATCTCTCACTGTGACAAGGTCAGGCCAGAGAACTGTTACAGAGTGGTGGAAAAGCAGCTTGCAAAGGGTAAAAGGCCTGCTGATACTGGCAGAGGGCTGCAGGGCAATTAGGAGCAGCTGGCAGGGAGCTGGTCAGGCAGATTGGGGCCACCTGACTCCACTTCAGGCCTGCTGGTGGCCTTTAAAAGCCTCCCCAGTGGGGCGGTAGGAGAGGAAAAGTTTGAGACAAAACATTAGCAGTTATAGCACTACAAACAACAGGGAGAAGGTGCTCCCTACCCTAGAAACCAGCTGCAAGCCCCAACCCTGGCAAAGGGGGAAGGCTGTCAGCCCAAATGCTGGCCAGAGAAGCAGGAACCATTGCCACTCCGTGGATACGTAAAACTAACAAAATACGCTGTAAACATAACCCTTAAATAGTCTTTGATGATAGGTATCAAGCTCATTACCATTACAGGGAGGCTACGTCTAGACTGGCAACGGAAAAGTTTTTCCATTAAAAGCATTTGTGGAAAAGAGCGTCTAGATTGGCACGGACGCTTTTGCGCAAAAGCACTTTTTGCGGCAAAGCGTCCGTGCCAATCTAGATGTGGTTTTGCGCAAGAAAGCCCCGATCGCCATTTTTGCCATCGGGGCTTTTTTGTGCAAAACAGTCCTGAGTTGTCTACACTGACCCTCTTGCACAAATACATTTGTGCAAGAGGGCTTTTTCCCGAACGGGAGCATCATAGTATTTGCAGAACACTGACAATCTTAATCAGATCGTCAGTGTTCTTGCGCAAATTCAAGCAGCCAGTGTAGACAGCTGGCAAGTTTTGCCAGTCTAGACGCAGCCGGAGTAATTAGTACAAAGTCTGTTCTTAAAAAAAATAAAATAAAATAGCCTCCTCCTGTGGAAAACCCCGGGAAAAAAAATCAGAGTTCTTAGATAACCTGGTACTTAAAATGAAACATTTCTGTCTTACTTTAATAGATAATTTCAGAATGAAACCCACGTTTATATTAAATCTTTAAATGAGTGTTGTTTTTCTGACACTGACGGGTTCTTGCACAAGAATGGCCGTTCTTCCGAAGAGTGTCCACACTGCTTGCCCACTCTTGCTCAAGAAGATTTACAGTAAAGCGTGGTAAGAGAGGGATTCTTGCACAAGAGCTACACTCTTTTCTAACAAGTGTAAGCCCTCTTGCACAGGAGCTCTTGCGCAAGAGGGCAGTATGGCCGCGTGGCAGGGGTTTCTTGCTCAAGAAAGCCTTATGGCTAAAATGGCCATCAGAGCTTTCTTGCTCAAGAAAGCATCCACACTGCTATGGATACTCTTGTGCAAAAGCACATGGCAGTGTGGATGTGTTCTTGCACAAGAGTTCTTCCACAAGAACCCTTCTGCAAGATGTAGACATAGTGTAGACATAGCCAAAGAATCTGAGCCATGTTTTCAAATTTAAATAGAGCTTTGGGTTTATGGCCAAATATAGTTGTGATTGCAGTTTACTTTTTCACAGTGTTTTGAATGATTGGGCTATGCGTGAGAATTTAACTCATGAAGAGTTAATGGTCTGCCTAGAATCTTTCCTCTAACAAAATGGTGCAAGATGAAATATTCAGATCACAACATGCTTCTGAATTTCTGCTGAAGAAAGACTCAGTGCCAGAATAGCTCCTTTAAGGGATTCAAAGGGTTAGGAAGACTAGAGACCTTCTACACATCATGCATTTAGGATAATATTATGGATTAGCTAACAAGGCAGTGCAAAAGATGGAGAATGGAATGAGATACATAACACATAGGAGCATTTCATAACTAAGGAGATGTAAAGACACTTTCATGTGCACTGTTAACTTCATCTGAACTACAAAGAAGACAGAGCATGTTCATAAATTGGAAGGCACTTGTATCATGTTCTATGGTTAGAGAACCCCGTATTAATAGAAAATTCTAAATGAGATCATGTGATTAAGAGTGTTCTACAAATTAATCTTTGGAAGTAATATACCAGAAAATGTAAATTCAATCTGTTTCGGGTGGCAAGAGTCTGTGTCAATATTGCAAACAAAATTAGGAACAGGAAGAGAGATTGTATGTGTTATGTTTTCTAATATGCATTTGATATAAGGCTACAAAATGTATGTAGTGACAAAGTATTTAAGTTAACAAATAAAGCTGGTCTGTATGTTTGAGTAACCATGTTTTTAAATTATAGCTATTTTATTTAAAATAGAATCTTGAAAAGTTTGGCAACAGTATATTTATGTTCTGTTTTATCCAGTGTTTAAAGTAAACATGCCCTTCATTAATGTGCCACTGGAGGCTTTGGAGGGCTCAGTTTGCCTTATTAAACTTTCATCTGCAAATTGAAGGGAGTTTGATGCAGTGTCGTAGTCTGTAATAAAGTTTGCTCCCTATGTGAAAACTGCTGTGTAATTTCTAGCACAGTTGTTTTGTCACTGAGACTCAGTATTTTCAAAGAGTTACCCAATCTACTGATTTAGTTTTGACTCCAAACAATTCAGAGTATGAGGTAGGCTATTTTAGGCTGTATCTATGCATTAGCTGACATTATTTCGAAATAACATAATGCACATCTACACAGCAAACCATTATTTCAAAATAATGTCGAGATGGAAGACTTCTTACTCTGACTCCTGTAACCCTCATTTCATGAGGAAGAAGGAAAGTTGAAGGAAGAGTGTTCTTCCTTCAACTTCCTGCTGTGTGGACAGTGCCAACAGCCAAATTAAGCTATTTCTACTTCAGCTGCGCAATTGATGTAGCTGAAGTTAAGTATCTTAATTCGATTTTTGCCCTGATGTGCAGACGTACATTTAATGTCCTCCAACATGATCTGTTCCATTAAAAAAGTACCAACATTCCCCCAATAAAAAATTACTTATCCGGTACCCTATGAAGTATTGACAGTAACAAAACAAAAAAACGCACATAATCTGAAGTTGCAATCATACCATAGTGTTCTTTTGAGTCAAGTTAAGGTACATATGGGACTCTCAGTGCCAGGACCAACTGGTGGATGTGGAAGAGACTTTCCCTTTGTTGGCATTAATCTTTCCCCCATCATT